CATTACAGGTTGTGGGGGGAGAAAGAGCAAATTTAGGGTCTCCCCCAACACGAGGCGCGGACCCGGGTGCGGGGACCTGAGTTGGTTCCCAGCTGCGGCACTTGCTTCGAGAGGCCGAGGCGTGGGCGCAGGTGTTGGTTTTTCTTTAATTTTTGTTCTCTTTCTTGAGAATGTACCGGGTGGAAGCAGGAGTGTGCTGTTGGGGCTGCCTGCGGCACGGTGGAGTGTGGGGTGGCTCATGCCTGGTGGCCCCAGGAGGAAGGGAGGCCTGGGCTGGGGTGCGTGGGGAGCTCTGCGGCACTTGCTTCGAGAGGCCGAGGCGTGGGCGCAGGTGTTGGTTTTTCTTTAATTTTTGTTCTCTTTCTTGAGAATGTACCGGGTGGAAGCAGGAGTGTGCTGTTGGGGCTGCCTGCGGCACGGTGGAGTGTGGGGTGGCTCATGCCTGGTGGCCCCAGGAGGAAGGGAGGCCTGGGCTGGGGTGCGTGGGGAGCTCTGTCACCTGCTCACTTACTGGTGTAATTAATGTGTGTTAAACAGGTGTGGTAGTGCAGTAGTGTGAAGTAGCTATTCTCAGTGAACATACGAAAACATTCCCATTTGCTACCTCGTAGGCATGCAAAAAACCCAGTTGAAGTACTGTCTGGAGAAGGCTGGCTATTTTATGTGCCTTCCGTAAGGGACGAGACTTTTCTCGTCATGTTAACTTTGTTCTTGCCATGGTAGTAAGCGCTTTAACATTTATAAATTATTAAAACCTGTATTGAAAGTGGAGTATAACTCAAAGGAATCTGGCATTAAAGCACTAAGAGGTATATTGTATGTGCTTTCCTCAGGCGTAGTTCTGTGTGCCAGTGTTCCCTTTGGAAATCCTATTATGTTGCCTGTGTCAGGAAAAGTTAACGTGTTTGTGAAAACTGGCATGTGTTTTGTGGTTCTATGGTTGATGATTTTCCTGTTAATGTAAAATCATGAAAAACAAGATACAATTTTCCTAGTCTACCCTACCTTGGTAGATCTGTAATTATCATTCACAACAAAGTGAATAAGAGGAAAGATTTCCTATTATTGCAGGTGTATTTCATAGAGTAAACATGCAGATGTCTCAGCTGATGATATTTCTGTAATCTCTTCCATCGTAAAATTTTGGCTGAATAATCAGTGTGTAATGACTCCTACAAATTAAACAGTTATTGTGCCATTCTGTAACTGGAGTAAGCTTTTCAGATTTGGTCCATGTGTACTTGGGAGGGTTCTAGTTGTGTTCCTTGTTCCAGCTTACATAACAGTTGAAGTCACTTGTTCTGTACCTCTCTTATTCTTCTAAATAGGTAATGTGGCACTTGACAATTTACAGATAAAGGAGAATGCATTGGTAAGTAGTCTAAATTTTATTTTTTTTCATGGGTCTAAAGATTAAATCATAGGATAAAATATTACTGTAGTCTTATGTTACACAATATGCCTTTTCTACTGATTATTGGAAGTAGGTCCTTGGTTAACTGCTTCTAATTTTGCTCATGTTACTGGAGCAGAAAGAAGAGAAACTATGGGTGAAAAGGTGTGTGTGCTCCTTCAGAAGAGGAAAATAACTTCTGAGAAGTTAGCAGTAGGGTTGTAAAGTAAGTTTCCCAGTGTTTTATGCATATATGCATATGCAACCTGTCCTAGTGTTTGAGGCTTCAAATGATAAAACTTTAAATGAGATATCGGTACACTTCTGTTATTTGGTCATCTGGTACAATTTAAAGGATGTAATTTCTGCTGTGACTGCTACTGTATAATCATACTTCTGTTAGGTCATAGGGTTTTTCCTCACTTGTATGTCTGTGCAGTAGATGTTAGTAAATCGCTCAGAAGCATACTATATCTAATGGGTTTGCAAAGGCCTATGTATTCTTTTTTTATTTTTCCAGCTTTGGTTGAATAAATAGATTTTTGAAGGCCTGACTCCTGCAAATTTATTGATCTTGTTGAAGTCTTCTGAGAGACTGGCTCTTTCTGAGTTGTTGGTATGAGGATGAAGGGGGAAAAAGTTCATCCTTCTACATCAGTTGATGGGATTGAAGCTTATGTTTAGGTACTTTCTGTGTAAATTGGTACTTATTTAAAACTGGCAGGGAAGACATTTTTAAGATGTGTAGTCTCTGAAAGTAAATACAGTTATTCAAATGCTCCATTCTGTTCCTTTTGAAATAGGAATGATGGAAAAACAAGAAATAACTTGCATTAAGTACCCGTAGGCTTGTCTGAAAGAATCTTGGTTGATTTTTATGTTCTTTAATTGAGCTGATGAACACCTATACTACTGAGAGAATCTTACTGCAGTCTTTAGTGTTCTTCAAACTTCACTAAAGAGAACTGTTACTCTTGTGTGAATTGAAAACATGTTGGGTCTTTGTATGAACTAATCAGTGTTTTCTCTTCATAGTTCTGAAGCTTCATATTTTACCTGCCCATTTCATCCGTTCCTGATAACTTTGTTGTACTTTAAAACACTTGATACAAATATCTTTGTAATCTGGTAGTTAAAAAAGGAAGGAAGAAAGCACTATCTACTTTGTACCCATCTTTCCTTCTTACGATAATTGCAAGGTTGATTACGGTTCTAGCAGTTCTGACTTAGAAAAATGTATACTCGTGTATGTGACTGACCAGAGCTGAAAGAGAGCTAAAATAAAATCAAGAACTGAAAACAAGTAATGTTTCTGACTGCTTTACAATTGCAATATGTTTAGATAGCTCTGCAAACGTAGTTAAAAGAAGGTAGATATTGAACACCATTTTCAAGAAGGTGAAGTCTACTTTTCTAAAAGAGAAGGGATTAAAGGAATGTGATATGGTTCAACTTTTTCTTTTCTAGTTTGCCTGGCTGCTGCTGTCTGGATTGTTTTTGTTTTCCTCTTAAGGTTTTCCACCAGAAAATAACTAGCTTTTAATTTCTGTATATAGATACAATACTTTCCAAATGTAAGAAAAGAAAGCCCTTAGGAAAAGGAAGACAAGCATATTGTTACTTTTAGTGTTACACTTGCCAAGTCTATTTTTCCCTTAGTCATAGTGAAAGAGCATTTCATTAAAATAGAAGTTTATCAGACCTCAGTCAAAATTTAGGCTTCCGCTCATGCAAAAATAACTTAAGAATATTAGTGTAAGATTTCTAAAATAAAATGGTACAAAATTATTTTACAAATTAATTCTTGGGCACCTTGATAATGTAACCGTTTTTTTCCCCATGGTAGAGATAGGGTAGAGAGTGAGTTCGCTGACACAAAGTGCTGAAGTATCATTCTGTGAAATCTGTACTTTGATCTTTTGAGGCTGTTGTTTAGTTTTGTGTGACTTCAGCTATAAAAATACAGAAGTATAATGGGGCAGCTGCTCTTAATGTTCCTTTTTTACTTTGTTAAAAACTTGTAGTAGTGATAGTAATGAAATCTTTCTGATTTTTTAGCTTTATCCTATTTTTCAATCATAATGAAAAATGATGACAAACTATGATCTAAGCTCTTTAGCAACCTGTTACTATGTTTCTCAGCTTATATTATTAGAGTCATTACCATCAAAAAGCTTGAACTCTGGGCTGCTTTGCTTGTGAATTTGTATCCAGTATGCAGTTGGTCACAGCTCTTAATCTTCAAAGCTAATACTGCCGGTTCCTTCTCACTTAAAGTGTTGAAGTATTTTCAGTAAACCGTCTTTTTTCATGTTAAGGTCAAACCCCAATGTTCTCATGTTTTTTAATTTATATTAATTTGTTGTTTTGCTCAACAATTTTAAAACATCTTGAATTTCTAGTTTTTCCGTAATGTCCCTCCATCCCTGGCCCCGCAATTTAATCTTCTGGAAACTAATTTTTCAAGGTCAAACTTTTGGTCCTGTCCTTTTAGCTGGCCAAACTCAGCTGGTTCCCCTTAGAATTCAGCTGTGTGTCATAAATGCAGTATTAAATGGGGTGAATTTGGTTGCTGGTGTCTGCTTCTACATGACAGCTGCTGGCTTTATCAAGAGCAGAGATCTTTTTTCTCACAATTTGTTCCAACCTCTTCTTCTGTATGTTCTTACTACTAAAAACGAAGTGAGTCTGTTTTCTCTTTGTCTCCTGGTATATTTCAATAAAAAATAAAAACTGAGAAGAAAGCTTTCAGTTAAGCTTAATGACCAGTTTTTTAACATGCAGCAGCCTGCAGGAGGAAATATTCGGGAGGTGCTGAAGAGCAGTTGTGACCAGGAATAATTTCAAGTGTAAGGAAAAGTTTCTAGTAGTATGCAGTTACAACCAGAAGAGGGTTAAAATATTCCGTAGCTCTTGCTTTTCAGTTGTTTCTTCAAGGTGCTAAAAATGTACAAGCCACAGAAATATTGTCACTAGTTTAGTCTCTTAATTAAAGTTGCTTGATATTAGGCTCCTAATAGCAGCTCAGAATGCTTTTTAAAAACTTGAAATCTGGCGATTTATGTTAATGAGATGTTAATTTGGATATTAATCTTCTTTTTTGGAGCAGCCCTGTTAAATATTTTGAAGTTCTTGGAAAAGTGGTGGTCAAGATTGTTTTCTAGTACATGGGAAGAGAGAAGTGGTTAATATCCGTCTTATTTGGGAAAATGGATTTGTTTTTTATAATCTTGGAGATTAAGACTTCTCTTCAGGTCTTTGAATGGTGGTTAGCTTATTTGAAAAGAATACTGAAGTGGAAGACAGTTCTGGAATCTTGATTTTTTTTTTTAACTTATTTTTTTAGTCTTTAATTTTATGTGTTGATTTATTTTCTCCTACTTCCTCTTTACTTTGTCCCTCTTATGTTCTTGATAGTCCTGTGGTTATACTCCTGGTTTTGCTGTACGCTATATAGGAGAGATAATTTGTGAGGTTTTAATTGATGGTAGTAATTGTTCACTTGTCGCATGTTCCTCATCTTTATGAGCCAGTCTTGTTCTTGATGTTTGGCAGACATTTTGCAAAGAACTTATCCATATTATTAGTAAGAATTTTTATGTTTGTAAATACTGAGCGCTATTATCAGGAAGAAAAGACCTATGTGGCAGATCAATAAAAACGTAAAATTAAATCCTTGTATGTAGATAAAATTTTACTTTTTAGTAACCTTTGGAACAAGGCATTATCATACTTGTAGGAGAGAATTGCTGGAAATGTGTAAATGCTTTCTTTTAGGGCTTTCTAAACAAGCCTAACCATATTTATGGATTCCTGAGTTCACGTGAGTATTGCTAAGTAATGAAATCTCTGTCATATGGAGAACTGTTTCTGTTCTGGAACTTCAGTTTTGGGAAAACAGTTTTACCAGAAGTAAAGATAATAATTTTGCTGAAAAACTAGTTTATCTTTAAAATATGTGGATCTGTGTAATACTTTATTTTTTTTCTTTACAGAGTGAACTGGATGTACCTTTTAGAATAAAAGTTGGTCAGATAGGTAAGTTGTTATTTCAGTGTAAGTATTGAAATGAAAAATTTTAGTACAGGCCTTAAGGTCAGTCTTGCCTCTGAATTTCTTCTATCAAGCTTTCTTAAGATCTCTGTAATTGTATTCACTGTTGAAACTAGCATAGAGGTCTAATGTGACTGCCCTGGATAAATCATAAAATGTTATCTGGCAAATCCTGTTTGTGTAACTTGACAGGCTGGTATGAAAAACATGTCTGGAGGTTCTTTCCAGATACACGGATGATCAAGGGAGCTGTTGAGTATAGGCAGAATATGTGTGGCTCTTTAAAGGGCAGATTAGGAATATGGAGAATTTAAGTAAGATTCTTGAAACTGGCAAACATGCCAAGGGTTTAGGAACTGCTAGATTATATGTTTTTCACAAATTCCTTTCCCTGGTGGTCAGCATTGCTTTTTCACATGAAGCATTTGTTGGGGATGAATGTGTTTTGTATTTCATCTTCTACTTCCCTGGGAAAATTATGTTCATCCCAGTGAACTGAACTCCAGTCATGATCTCAGGTTTTGATTGGAGATCTTCTGACTCAAACTGCATCTTCTTGCTTAAAACTATGGCTTATATTTTCTCTGCATGTATTTTATCACTTCAAGGGCTTTATAAAATGTTTAGGCTCTTATGGTTTCTCCTTCTAAGGTGTTTAGGGCATCAAGACATAGGGCTAATGTTCTTAGATGCCTGAGGTGCTGTTTGGACTAAGCACAGCATGGATTTTTGTTTTGATGTAAACGTATCTGCTTTGTTTAGATAAACTTACTCTGAAGATTCCTTGGAAGAATCTCTATGGCGAGGCAGTTGTTGCAACTCTAGAAGGCTTGTATCTTCTAATAGTTCCTGGAGCAAGTACGTAAAATCTTCAATAAAAGTTAAAAAACGGAAGAGAAAAATATCTAAGGGTATTGTGTAATTGAGTATATAATAGCAAGTAGTTCATTTAAGCTGCCGTTTTTACATTATGTTTTGTCAGGGAAATTTAGAGACAAATGCTGGCAAGTTAGTGGGAGAAAACAGCAGCTGTTGCTTTTATGGAAATCCTTGGTTGTGTCCATTCCAAGTTCAGTTCAACAGCCAAGTTTCCTCTGAAGTATGCTTATCCTGAATACACTTTTCTGGCATGGTTTAGATCTTTTGGCTGTTCCATGATACAGTTCATCTCCTTCTAACTGACAACAATCGAATGTAGTAAGTCCTTTAGAACTGTTTTTGGGGAAAGTGAAGAGGATCAGAGAACTTAATTAGTTTTCTCTGAAATCAGAATCTCCGATACCTTAAGAAAACTTGGAGATTTCTAGAGTGTCAAATATGTGTAGATCTTGCAAACCCACTTTATATTGAACAGGCCGCATTTAAGGGTCCGAATTTCCATGGAAAGGTTCTCTTATGAAGTAATGCTTAAACGTTGATGTGATTCTTTTGTGTCTTACTGTCTAAAAATAAATATTTCAGAGGCTGGATGCAGCTTTCAGCGATTAAACTGAGAATAGCTGTAATCTCAAACAAGTCTCAAAACATGTTTTGCAACAAAATGCTGAATGTGGTATGCATTGCTTGATTATGCATTTATATAACTTGAAATTTAGGATTAAAGCTGTCCCAACTTGGCTTGCAGGCATTAAATATGATGCAGAGAAGGAAGAAAAGTACTTGCAGGATAATAAACAAAAGGAACTGGCAAGAATTGAGGAAGCCTTGCAGAAAGCGGCAGAAAAAGGTACCGGATTAATAATACAAATCTCCATTGGAATTTGAGGACTTAGACTGCGCTATGAAAGCAAAGTCCTGTTTTGTGATTGACTTAACAAATTTTGTTTTTTTCAAGTGTCTAGCTGATTTGACTACAGTGCTTTGAAAAGCCTTTTTCCTCTAAAGTTTGAAAGAAATGTTGCTTGTTTTGTTTACTGTTCATTTATCCAGTCAGCTTCTGTTGGAAATGGGAATTTGGTAATCTGGTATGTGTCTCTTTCTTTTCCTTTTTTTTTTTTTTTTTTTTTTGTTCTTAAAACTCCAGGGGAACAGTACCAAAGATAGAAACTAGATTGCATGAGGCTAACGTTGTTATCTTGCTTTAAAGCCTCAGTAATAGATGTTTAATCATATGTTTTAGAGGTGCATGGGACAGGTTGTTCTTGTTTAAAGGAAACTTTGAGGAGAGTAGTAAGGCTTGTAAATTTTTACTTCAACAGTAATGCTTTTGTTTCAGTTTCTGCTGTCCTTTTATGATATACTACTGTGTTTTGACTGGTTTGAGAAAAGAGACTCTCTTGAGCAGGAAATAATTCATGACACAAGAAAACAATTGAACATGAACATAGGAAACTTCACATAAACTTTTTGACCTAGGTCATTAAAAAAAATAAAAATTTCAATTAGTTAAAATAAGTGATCATGTCAGTCCAGTTAACTGGATTTGTGGTGGGTTTTTTTTGTTTGTTTGTTTATTGTAGGTTTGTTTTGTTTGTTTGTTGTTACAAGTGTCTTTAAAAAATTGTGGTATAAATTAGCTGTGTTTGGACAGAAACCAAGCTCCAAACCAATGTCAGGTAACTGCATATGGCAGAGGAAACAGTTATTGCTGAAGTTTTTGGCTCAAGTGACAAAGCCTGTTTGTGGGTGGTATAATTGTTCTTAAGAAGCATCTCTAGGATACCTGTAATGCTGCAAGTCATTTGCCTTGGAAAAGTTACTGAAAATGAAATGGTACTTAGAACACTTGGAAAAAGGTAGATTGTAATCTCTTTGCTTATTTAATTTTCCAGTTACAGGACTCTCTACTGCCTTGTTCCTGTTTTGCTAGTTTGAGATATATATATGTGCAGTGTCCTTCAAACAGCAATCTGGCAATCTGTATACAGTGAAGAAAGAAGCCTTGGTTTATTTCTTGTCTTTAATATGCCAGAAACTGTATGAGAGCTAAGACAACTTCAGTGAATGAATTTTGCAGTCATCACTTCATATTGGGGCAAAGGAGTGTTCATAGAGGTTTAACCTTGGTTATGTAGCACTTGGATACTGTAAACCAGCAGTGTTTCAGCCATTATTCTTTGCACCAGGAGCAACGGGATGAAAGGATAATATAACAAGAAGAATCTAACCTAATGGGCACTGCTTGAGGTGTTCCAGTTCTGGAACTTCATATAATTAAGAGTGACTCTGTGCACCTGCAACAGTCATCTTTTTTTTTTTTTTTGAAAGTAACTTACTATGTCCAGTGTTTGTAAGGCTTTTTCCTCAAAAGTCATACAAAACAAAATCATACCTCAGCAGCTCAACTCCTGATATAAAGAACTAGAATTAGATTTAGTCATGTTTTGCAGTTTTAAACTTTCAGCCTTGTGAAGGAAAAGCTAGAAGAAGATTTCAATGGGACTATTTTAAACTGAAGTTATCCTCTTAGTCATAGTGCAACACAATCCTTATGGGTCCCTTCCAACTTGAGATATTCTATGATTCTGTGGTCCTATCTCAGTGGTAGCTATTTGTGTTTCTGGTCTTGTACTAGAATATTGTACTCAGGAGGACTTGTGTAGCTCTTGCATGAGCAAATCCCTTGCTTTTGCTAGATACAGAAGTGTAAACTTCTAAGAAATTCTGCTCTTTTTGTGTGGTTAGTGTAGTGTGATGGGGAAGTGATAACAAGCTCTGCTGACACAAGCTGACAAAACGTTATTTTCTGTTTTTGAAGCTATTAAAATCTGTCAGTGTCGAAACTGATATGGAGACCAAAGCTTGCAGCTTTTGTCTTTCACTGGTTATAAGTAAAATGAAAATTGCATATTTTGCCTGTGCAGGTAATCTTTGAAACTAGATACTCTGAAGTGACTCTGGCTGTCAGATACTGTAATGGAAATACTAACATGTCATGTGAGTTCTGTAAACTTAAAATTAAATCAGGAGCTGATTTCCTTCTTGTAAATAAAATGCATTTTTTTGGTTATTTGCTGCCATGTGGACCAAGGCACTCATTCACAAGATTCGTTGTATGGGTTGGAGAGTCTAATTTACAAGGACACTAAGCCTGGTGGGTATGCATGGTTACTCTTTGCAGATGTATGATGGGTACGCAGCTTACATTTTTAAAAACCTCTCCCCCACCCCCCCCACCCCCGCAAAGCAGCCAAACGTAGAAATGAGATAACAATACTTGTTTGGTAAGCATCCACATATTGGTCGTTCTAGAAATAAGTTTTTAATGACTGTGGATTCAAGTGGAAACTTGCAATGACTAGTCCTGCCTTAATTGAGTGGCTGTGCAAGAAGACTAAGAGACCATTTAGAAATATTTGTCAGCCATGTTGAGCTCAAAAATGTTATAAAATGCTGACAACTTTCTACTATATTTTTAAAACACTGGTTTTAGATGTCTTGGGACTAGAGGATAATTGCCATTACTTAAAGTATCTAAGCTTAAGATACTGGAAGTTCAGGCTGTCTCGAAACTGTGGACAGGCAAAATGAACCGTAGCAGATTGAAGGCATTCAGCATGCTTTTCCCTGGTTCTGTTTATTTGGATTGCTCTCAAGTTAGGCAAGGAAACAATTTCCATTGAAATTTGGAGGAAGTGTTATTATGTTGTACCTGCTGTATTTCTATCTGCTTGAAGCAGATTTTCAGAAATTTATTCGGAGCCAAAATTACTTTGTGGGTTTTTATCTGAGTGCAGGTTTAGAATGAGCTGAAAATAGTACATTTAGTTTCTCTGTGGTAATGGATGCGGGTAATCAAGAGGAAAATCATGTTGCCTTAGTTTTGTCATACATGGGCGTGAAAGCCTGAGAACTGCAAATTCAATAGTAAGTGAAGGAAGCTATCTTTTTAGGATATCATTTATGGAGGATTACTTGTACTGTTAAAAGGAACTATCCAAAAGAAAACGTTTCTATCTCACATAGTTTTTTTTGTTATTTGTAGAGTGATCACCTTACCTGCAAGACAGATTGAAATCTTGGCAGGCACTTTCTCCTGTGTTTGAACAGGCGTGAACATTTGTTCCCCACATTTAAATACATAGTTGCACTTGCTTCCTTCTTTTTCCTCGCTTTTATTGCGATACACCCTTCTCATACTACAGTCTCTTGAAGTTAAGCACAGGCAGCCCTATGACTAAATTCTTTTAATGTATGTGGCCAAAGACAGGAAAGAAACAATGCAACTCACCAGGCAGGTTTTCTTTAGAAATGTGGAAAAATAAGAGAATTAATTTAGTTCATTAAATGTGATTGTGTGGGTCATAGTTTGTGTGTAAATAATAGAATTTAATTTCATATAAAGCTTTTAAAGAGTCATAATTTTTGTATGCCTTTTTTGCAGTTACTGTTATTCTTTCAGATCGCTTTCATATCATATTATTGATTAGCATGAGAATCATTGAAAAGTGTTTTTTGGGTTTCCACATACATCTCAAATATCTTAACTTGGAAGTTATGCCCTTACATGGCAGAAGCCTCTTTTGAATTCAAACTTCCATGGGTTTTTTTTCCCCATGCGTGTATATTATTAACTGTTCACTTACAACAATTACGCCTTTGCCTGAGAGCCTTAAATAAAAAACCAAACACTTGGATTACAGAAAAACTTATTCACCAGGGTATCTACACAGCAGTCATGGCTCCTTTTAGCTCTCTTTTGTATATAAGTGATTTGGAATTATGTTACGCAGTGCATTCGTGAAGAACTCTGGGTCTGTATTTGTAGAGAAGCCTGCTGATTATTTGTTATTCCTCGAACTTTTGTGACGTTGTATAAGGAATATATGAAAGTTGATATAAATGCCTTGACCTTACAATTGGCAGGACAATTGATCCAGTAGAAATTTGGATAGTTAATCTAAAGTTTTTACTGGCTGCTTATTTTACTTGGGCTTTGAACTTCAAAAATCCCAAGTCTTCAGTTGCTTCCCTGAAGGTGAATTTAGTTATACATAAATCATGAAAAATAACACTCTGTGCTGTAAGTAGTAGCTGATTGCTTCCTTAACAGATCTGAAATTCTTTAAAAGCTTTTCATGAGACCTTACCAAGGCATTCTGCTTTAAAAAAAGCTTTCTTGTGCTTTCCTACATTTCTGCTTTACTAACTTGAATTTTATCCTTTTCCCAAAAAATTGCTTGCACTGAAAAAGGACGTAAGCGTAAAAAGTATAAAAAGCATTTTAAGAGACCATTTAAAGGTCATGGTCGCTCAAAAGGTGGGTAAAAGTTATGGCTTTTAACTTTTTTAAAGAATTTTTTTGTGCTTTGTTTGGATTAGTTTTCCTTAATCTTGGATATCCATCTGCTGATATTCTTTTTTTTTCCTGTTTGAAAGAGAGGACGTAAATTGGAGAGGGCTTTCTTTTGCTGTCTCTCTACTTGTATAACTGTGCTTGTTTCTTCAGCTTGAGCTATCTGTCGCATTTCCAACAAAAACTGTACACGTTTGTTAGGCTGGTTAGTGGCACTTCAGTATGACTGTTGGAAAAACTGCATGTGAAAGAAGTATCTCGGTCTAGTTTTTGTAATATTCCAGGAACAGCTATGTAAAGTAAATCTAATACTATAGCGATGAAGCTATGTAAAGTAAATCTAATACTATAGTGGTGATATAGCAGTAAACAGTCTGTCAGGACCTTTTAGCTTCTGTTCTAAATAGATGGCATAGTGTTATGACTGATATTGTGACAGCAATGAACTCGGTGTTTTTCCCCAACAGGATAATCATTGTCCATAAGTACCAAACCATGCAGGTCTTCAGTATTAGCACGTGACTAAGAATGGGTTGCCATATCCCGTGTGGTTGTAGTGTTGTGTATTTGATCTTGGAGGAAGCTGCAGCATAAACTTGTAATTGGCATGAAAACTTTGTGGGGACCCTAGATAAGCTTTGTAAGGTATCAAACTTTTATTGCCGCTGGTAGCTGCATCTGGCTGGAAAAATGTTAATGGGTTGCCTGCTTGCACTTGAAGGTCATGAAGCTTTGATAAGCGCTTCTGCCTTTTTTTTAAAATCAGTATGGTGTTGTTTTCTGTTAATAGGGAGTGGGAGTTGTGAAGAAGTGATTAGTAGGAGGAAATGCGAGTTGCATGTAGAAGTGGTATAAGGTTTTGTTTTCTGAGTTCCCGACTAATTTTTTCCCTTGAAATTTGACTAAAATGGTGTTATATCATGTTCAATAGCGAAGTATTTTCCTTTTTAAAGGAAATTTTAACATTTTTTTTAAAGGAATTTTCTGAACCTCTCTTAAAACTTTAAAAATTATCCTATTTTTTTATAGCAAGATGCACAAAGTTTTATATCTGTGGTATTCAGCGTGCATTGCGTATTTAAAAAGTTACAAGCAGTTAAAGTAAGCTGAGAAGTGAAACTTGGGAGTGCACCCCTAAACTTAGCCAAAACCTGTAGTCCTTATTTCTCTCTGTTTGGATAGCCATGACTGTTTCTTCAACTTGAGTCATCTGTAGCATTCCAACAAAAACATACACGCGTGGTAGGCTGGTTAGTGGCACTTCACTGGGATGGCCTCTTTGTAAGGTGGATATTTAACAAAACAAGGTAGCCCATAAAGATAGCTAGAGAACAAGCAGCTTATCAAGCCTTATTTTAGGTAAAATGTTAAGATGCTCAGCTTGAGATCATATTTTTAGAGTTATGTCATTAAGTAATTAAGGGACTGTAAATATTTCTCCCCTCTCCTGCCACCTTGGCATGCTTCCATTTGTCTTGGGTGGAATGCTGAACTTCTGCAGGTATGCAACTTTTGCTACTGTATCTTGTTCAGCATAAGTTCAAGTATCACTATGTGGCATAGCAAAGTCCGATACAGACCTACCTTAAATGGTCACGGTAGAAGTTCAATATGGAAGAAATGGAATATTTCAGAGTAATTGTTCGTTTTCACTTATGGTATGTCAGCTTTTTATTTTTCTTGGGCAGTGTTGTATGAAGAGCTCTAATGTACTGGTCTCTTGCTGTGCAAGTATCATCTTCATCTGGTTATTTAAGGGTATTTTGTGATGAATGACAGTCTTACCTATTTCCTTGTTGAAGCCTCCAGTTAATTGTTAAGGGTCTTTCAGGTGAGAACCTTTCACCCTGAAAGGAGTGGGGATAAGTATATTAAACAAGAACTTGCTTGTTTTGACTGAAACTTAGACATAAATTTTCTTATGGTTGTGTTGTGCACAGACAGCTAACATCACATCTTCAGAATATAGATGTACAGAAAAAGAAAAAAAAGCAAATATATAATCTAAATAAGTGAAAACTTAAATGTTAAGTGTTCACGTTTGAGTAAATGTTAAATGTACATTAGTATAGCTGTTGGTGTGGTTAAGCTCAAGATGCATCTACAACACCAAATGCTGACTTCCTAAAAATTATTGTTTTAGACAAACCAAAGGAGGAGAAGAAAGATACTTTCTTGGAAAAGCTTGCAACTCAAGTTATAAAAAATGTGCAAGTCAAAATCACGGGCATTCATGTTAAATACGAAGATGATGTAAGTATCTGGAAAATATTCTCTTTGTTTTAAATTGGACTCCAGTGTAGTCATGATTGTCTAGTCCATTGAGAGAAACTGTTATCTGCCACCTTGAAAAAATTGCTGTGGTTTCTTCTGCACCTCTTCAAATAGAGTACCCCAGATATGACTGACAGCCGGAGATGTTTTGGATATGTGAAATAGATATCCTCTCTTTTGCCTTGTCCAGTGGTGCCTTGCTCACTAAATGTGGATGGTGGCTGTTCGTCATGTGTTAGTGTGTGCAACTAACATACAGAACTCTTCAGTGTCCTGTAAAGTCCAGAATGGCAGAAGCTGGTGGGGTTACAGATGAGTTGGAAGGCAAACAGTTGAAAACACTTAACTACTAAATGAGAATGTTTATATGAACCAAACCAGCATTATTCTATCCTGCTTCCAGCTTCCTTTAGGAAAATGATAAAGCAGTTTGTGATGAGATAATTGAATGTAAAAGGAAAGCATTGAATAGAGAGCATCTCAAACCTATTTTGGGACTATTTTCGAAGACTAAATTTAAAAAGGCAGGAGGAATGGAAGTCATAAAATGATATAGCTGCCTGAAATGTGGTGCACTGTAGTTCTTAGTTCTTTCCTGTATGAAGATTTTTAGAAGCCAAAAGGACATTTTCAGCTTGAATTGAAGTTGTAAGTCTTTACACTGCAGCCATGTTAGTTTTGGCCCAGCTTAGGGGGTTCTGAGAATGCTTCATCTAGAATAATTAAGCAGAGGACGATCCTCAAAACAACTCAGGATTTCAATCAACTTTAATGATTGAAACTTTGAAGCTTTAATTTCAATCAACTTTAAATCATCTCTGTTTGCAGCAAGAGAAATAAATAGCTGTTATTTCTCTGTTTTTGTAGATCACGGATCCACAGTGTCCAGTTTCCTTGGGAATGACACTGGGCGAGCTAAGTTTACTGGTAATGTGTATGTGCATGCATGTTCTTATGTTTTTGATTTACTTGTCTTGGGAGTAGCAGAAAGGAAAAGTAACGTGTTAATACGATAGAATGAAAGTATGCATGCAGCTGAAGTGAAGATGATCTTTTATTCATGCAAATAGTACTTGAAGTTTGTGCAAGCAGAAGGGAAGACAACTGAGGAACATCACGCTTTCTGAGAGCAGTGATTTGTTTTTATGATCCAAGTGATCTTTAAAACTGAGTATGTTGACTTTCATAGGGCAGGTTATTTCCAGGCCTAATAAATAAATTAGGGCAAACATTACATCACAATGATAAAGAATGTGCTATATTGTCAGGCCTTTTGAGAAATGGGGGAAGAAAGTTTCAGCTAACCCTGGTTTTCCTTGGATGGTTAAGGATTTTACGGGTAAGATAAGGAGTTGAAAATCGAAATAAACTGAGAAATTGTAGGTTGGATTTTTGACTTGTGTGTATCCAGTCCAGAGAAACTGGCTTCTGTAATCATGTAGCACCACAATGGTGTATTCTGTGCTTTAAAGTATAGGATAAAACCCCCAACGTGTTAAGTAGGATGCACAGAATGACTTTTATCACTTTGAACTTTTAGACAACAAACGAGAACTGGACACCTTCTATTCTGAATGAAGCTGCAAAAATAATATACAAGGTAATGTGGTGGGTTTTTTTTCTACACAAGTGAAGAGAGCTTGGAGAGAAATAATCTGAGGTTCTAAAAGAAATTGGAAAAATAGTTTGCTTTCCAAATTCTCCTGCTTTTCTTAATTTTGCTGTGTTTAAACAGAAGGAGAGCACAAATAACTGGCTTTATGTAAGGCATAACTTTCAACTCTGACTTAAATAATTTCCCTTAAATGCAAACACTGATCACCTCATTAAATGCATTATACAGCCAGTCTGCATGGTAACTATGATTGCAAATAGGCTGTCAAATTGCCACTTCCTACTCTAGTTTGAGTGCCTAACATAATTGGGATTCTGGAAGCTAAGCAGTCTTTCTGTTCTCCCTGCTGCCCAACCCCACGCTGAAAGGAGTATGCAAAGATCTAAGAAATTATAGGAATGATATAAGAAGGGTTTAATAGTCCTGGCTTCTTAATTAGGCCAAATGTTGGTTTTGTGCACCCGCGCTCCTGCGATCCGGAGTCATTTAATGGATGTGCATGAACTTGTGTGCTTTAAGAACTTTTTAGAAATTCAAATTTCCCTTCAGATATGGTATTAGAAGTTTAAATACATCTCAATGCTTATGGTGGATTTGCTGTCTAGTCTGCTTTCATTTTTTTTCTGTTTTCACAACTGAAAAGCTAAGTTTATAGAATGGGTTGAATACTGAGTATGGAATCTGTTGAATGTTTTCTTTCCCATGCAGCTTTTGTGCCTGGACAGCCTCAGTGCTTATTGGAACATAAACAGCAAAATGTATTATCATGGATCCCGTGAGCAAATACTGGTAACGTAGAAGAAAATACATTAAGCAGGACTATATTTTATAGCTGTTGTAGTATTCAAAAGTACACCATACTAATTTCCATCCTGCTCCTCATGTTTATGCTCATCTCTATTCTGATACCAGGGTCATAGATTAGTCCACTGCACCATTGATAACCAGGGTTTTTTTCTGGTGAACTTCATATGTTATCAACGCCTATGGGTTTTAGAAAAGGTCAGAAACTGCGTCTGTAAAATTGTGTTCTATTGTCATATTCATCTTGACTTCACGCTGTTGACCCAGTACTGTTTACTAAATATCTGGGCTATATGAGCTATTACATAGCTACTGTAATGAAAAAGGCAATATTGAGATAGTAAACGAGCACAGAATTAATAAAAATTCAGAGCATTAGATCTTTATCAGAACAGGAACTTGTATCACACGTTACCCAGATTACCTAAGCTGCATGACTGAAGTTAGCCAATAGACTGAAGCCAGATAGAAGAAAAAGATGTTAAAACAAAAAGGTTTTTTTTTTTGCTGTTTAATAAACCAAAGTGTAGGTAGGTAGGTAGGTAGGTATCTGTTGTTTCCCCTAAACAAAGACACAAAAAATTGTGGAGGGGCTACTATAGTAGTTCTTATAAATAGCAACCCTTATGATAGGAGGTAGCTTTGGCAAAATCTTGAAGAGCTTTAGTAGAATAAGTTATATAGATGGGTAAATGAGTATGCTATGCGTGAAAGACAGAAGAGGGTCACAGCTTTAAATGTGGAGTGCACAACAGGACTGAATAATGAAGACACTTGAAAATGAGGTTGGGTGGAACGTAATTAAGGTAGACTGTGTGGAAAAGATGATGCTGGAAATACTTTATTCAACTTGATGAACGTAACTCAGGTGGTGTAGAGACTAGAGAAACAGATGACGGTGCTCCAGTGCAGAAGATGAGGCAGCATGAGGGCAGTGAGGGTAAATTAAGATGGAACAAGAAGCAGATATCTCAAAATGGTAATTGCAGGGAAAGAATAAAATTAAATTTGTGTGTGTGGGCTTCCTGGAGGCTATGTCCTTTTTTTTTTTTTTTTTTTTCCTGATTCATTTGTGTTTTGAGTTGCTGTTAGCTAGACGAGTAGTGGAATACTAAGACTTGTAATATTGTGTGTGAAATACTTGTTTTGCTTTCATTTCATTGCTGCTTTATCCTCTAAGTCTTACTTCCCAGAAGAGAAACAGGCAACTTTGGCAGTATGAATAGGGAAGTTATATGGACATAAATTTTGGCTGAGGGCACACATCCTCTTTCTTTATGATAGCTGAGGACTTCTGAGTTGCAAAAGCACCATTACTGTTAAGTTTATTTCAGATGGCCACTTCATTCATGCTGTTTAAACAGCTCATTTTTAGGTAATGAGAAACAGTTGGTTATTCTAGTGACCTTTTGGGTAGTACATTACTGAATATTTTAGGTTCTGAAAGTAAACTCTAAAATGGGTTCTCAAAACAAATCACTTTACTAGGAATAGTGGACATCTGATTACTGTCGTTAGTTTGTTTGAATCTCATTTCATTTTACTGTGGAGGAGGTCAGATGTGCAGTGTATGTTGTCTATATATCTGAATTATATTTTGGGTGTGAATAAGTGCACTCTGCAAAAATGTTACATTTTTGACCCGTATAAAGGTTATACAAGTGTTCTGTATGTCCTTGTACAATACTGCTTGTTTCCTGTTCACCTTTGTGCTCATCTTCTACAGGTATCTTTATTTTTGTTTTATTCTTTCCTTAACAAATTATACCCTTAACCTAGTGACCTTGGTACTAGTGTGGAAGGTTGAATCAAAACTGTAAAGTGCTTAAAACAAGCCAATTTTTTTAATGTTTTTTGACCCTTGTCTGTTATGTGGAACTTGAAACCCTCATCCTTTTATTTTTGTTCTGGTTCGGCTTGTAGGGCACTGTTTATTGTCTCTAAATTGGGGTGTAAATTCACTGTATGTAAAAGATATTATGAATACATTGATTTCTCTTCCTGTCTGCAGTCTCTTGCTTCGTTCTTTAAATAGCTAAATTTCCTCAGAGCACTAGCACTTCTGCCTTTTTAGTTTAGCAGAAATGCTTACATATTTTTAACAATAACCAAGTTACTTTAGCTATGGGAGTCTTCAGAATTACCTCTCTGTGGATGTTTTCTCAGTTATATCTCAATCTGAAGTGAAATGTAAACGCAAACCAATACACAGTTTGAACTGACAGCAGCAAAAGTCTTGGTGCTTCCTATGTGTCATTCCAGCACTGTTGGATTGATTGGTTGTGAATCAGTCCTTGACATGCTTGCGGATGGATGGCTTTGTGGGCTTACCTGACACTGTCTGGCATCTTAGATCTCAGTCCTTTTCAAGGAGACTTCAACTTGCTATCAACTAAGCTGCAAGTGAAGACGCTGGTGTGGTTTTATTGAACTTAAGTTTTATGTATCAGGAAGTACCACTTCCTATTCCGTCATCAAGCAAGTTTTTAACAGGCTCTTTTTGAAAGAATTGGGAATTTTGCCCTCCATGACTGTGAAATTGCGTTTCCTGTTTCCAAAGCCTGTGGCATGTCCTGCATGTAAACTTTTATGAGTGCTGAGGCAGAGCAATTCCAGCATAGCAAATACTATCCAGTATTCTGACCATCTATTAACTTGAAGCATCTCAACACTTGTTTTTTCTGTTCTTGAAATCCTTAGCAATTTTGGTGCTGTATACTAGTATCACTTTGCATACTGGCATCATTTCCATTATTTGGATTTTTTGCATCTTTTGACTGTTTAGTGACTTCTCTTAGTTTAAATTTATCAATTATGATTAGTCCATTTTGTGTCCTTGTCCCTAAAAGGGGAAGAGAGGGAGAGTAGGAAAAAGATCAGAACACATCTGAGGAGACTTAGAAAAGCACAGGGGAAGAATGGGATTCATCATGGGCATGATTATTTGTGTAAAACTTTCCCAGTTGTTAAGTCCTCTGTGCTTCAGAATTTTAAAACCAATACAGGAACTGAACAAATAGCAAATAACGTGTCTTGTTTAGTAGCATTATCTGTATTAAATGAATACATTTTATATGTAACTTTTAGTGTAGCTTGTTTCCTGGAAAGCTAGGTCTTCCAGAGAGGCTGTTTTGGTCTTAATTTTAAGTGGCATTATCAGGAAATCAGATTTATCATAGTAGCTAATTGGTCTATGTTGTAGTGAAAATAAGCTGTGTAATCTGTAGCAATCTGTTACTTTCGTACCACAGTCTTTGTATTTAAAGAACATGAGTATATGCCTGGTTGTGAGATTAGCTGTTTTGTACTTGATCTCCTTGAAATTTAGCTTTTATTAATATAGACAAGCAGACAAGAAATAGGTTGAAATGCAAATATGTTAAATGAGAAAGTGTACCTCTTATAAAATACAAAGCAGTTTTTAAATAAGGAACTGGGAAAAGGATTAGGCTGAAGAAATTTGTAGCTACAGAATATGTTCTTTTTAAAAACAACTCTTCATATTGATAGTCTTTATAAAATATAATGGGAACAGGCACTTCATCTGCCTTCATGTTATAGCTAATACGTACATCTTCCGAAAGGCAGGTCTCCTGCTGTAACTGATTGTGCCATTGCAATTCTGAAAGATAAAATGTTTGGGCATGAATATAGCCTTGTCAATAAATTGCCAAAGAATTGTAGCGTTGGACAGAGCTCATTTTGAATTAAGATTCGGTTCTGGCATGCTATTTCTCAGACCTCTTGGGCTGTTCTGTTATTTTCCTGACTACTTTCTGTGTTTAATTCCTTTCATACCTGCAGAATACCAGAAGGCTCAAGTGACCTCCTTATGTGCTAAAAATGAGGAAGGGTAGAATGTGAATAGATACTCCTGGTACCTTTAAAGAGTTTAAAAACAAATGCTTGATCTATTATGCTGTGTGTTTGAGTGTACACATGAGCTATATGTTTCAAAAATAACATACATTAGTTGTTATTCCAAGATTTAGACAGGTGTTGAATAAAACCTGTACTAACCTCCCAGTTGATATGAGAAACTTAGAATTCTTGTTAATATGGTGCATTTAAACCCTTCACTCTTACATGCTTCTGCTGTATTAGCTTTCCCATTCAGGGGGAGGAGGCCCTTGCAAAATACATGTGAACTCAAGTTGTTTTACTCAAAGTTTAGGGAACTGTAAATGAGTAATGCTCTTCAGCAATTGCTAGACAGTATCATATTCCTTTGCAGGATCAGCTGAAAAGAGGAATTCCATGTAGTGGTAACCAGCCTCAAGACTACCAGTATAGTAAGTAAGCTAGGAATGAGTGAATATAAGCTGTTCTGAACACGTTAGTATATAACAGCCTGACCTGATCATGTAGGCATGCCCATACTAACTTTATTTTACAAAAACCTAAACATAATAGAACATATTAGCGCTTTGATGCTTTTTGACTACTGCCGGGCTATCTTAACTTTTGGTAAGAATTGCATCCTGATTTTGTGGGTCTTGAACATATGCATCATCAGTACAAAGTGGTTGATATATCAGGCAGTGAATAAATACTTTAAGATCATTTCCCATACTTTAATTGTAAAAATAAAATTAATCTCAATTTTTTGCTTTAAGTTTTTAGACCGGTATCAGCCTCTGCAAGACTGTATATCAACCCATATGCAGAATTAGAACTAAAAACTCCCAAGCTTGATTGTAACGTAGAAGTACAGAGAATTGTTGTTGAATTCACGAAGCCACAGGTAGGTTGCCTTGGTGTCCATTATCACATATTTCAGTGTTTGTGATGAACTGTAGGATTTTTTTGTTGGGAAACATTCTTTTTTGGGAATTTTCTGCTTATATGCAAGTAGACTGTCTAAACTGTTTAGCAGTAGCTGTGGGAAAACTGTAGGATTGTTTTCCCTTTGTGTAACAGTCACTTCCTGGTGCTAGATCCTGACACTCTGAGTCTGTTATCTGTGGTCACTCTGGGGACCATCTGATGTGTATTCAGTCCTTCCAATAACATTCCTTTCATGCAGAGAATGGAATCATTCTTATGAGTAGCCCTTATCTTGTAAAACGATAAGCCAACATTGTAACTGCAGAGATGCCAAGATACAAGCAAGGGTGGGAATGAATGGAGCATGCTGGCTTTGGCAAGAAAGCCTGCTGAAGTATCAAGGAACTCATTTAGATAGATCCCCAGCAATGTTAGTGATAACTTTCATTTATTCAGTGATAATTTACAGTTAGTTTGCTAGATAGCTTTTTAGCTCTTATTGATGTCAGGGTGTAATCTGAGTTCAGAACAGTAACAATAAGGTTAGCTAATGCAAAGGCACTTGTAAAATTGGGGAAACTGTATTGACACATGAGGAGAATATGGTTAATTTGAGAAAGCATGAGACTGCTGAGCTGGGTAAGAGAAATGCAAATTGTTTTTGTTCTTCAAGGAAACCAGAAGTTCATACAGTGGTGTCCTTTGAGAGCAATGGGTTTAGTTGATCCACTTTTACATACGCATGAAAATACATAGGCTTAAATTTCAGTATAGTTTGGGGGATACTGAAGACCGTGGTATGCATGTACTTTAAGCACTGCTTGCAACAAAATCTGAACCTCTGCTAAGAAACATGTTTTTCTGCATTTAGTACCTCAGCATGATAGACCTTCTGGAGTCCATAGACTACATGGTTCGCAATGCACCCTACAGAAGATTTAGGCCAAATGTATCTCTCCATAAAAATGCTAGACAATGGTAAGCTGTGTACGTTTGTGCATTCTTTGGGAGCTGCTGGAGTTTTCTCCAGTCTCTTCATTATCCTTTGTGGTTAAATGTAGTTTTAAAACTACATTGCATATATCTGATGACTTCCACAGAGCTTTGCTTAGCCAAGTAGAAAAGGCTTGCGGAAAAAAACATGTGAAAGAACCAAGTGATGAAAATCTGACTTGCAAAGCTAACCATGGTCCCCAAAATCTCTGAACAAAATGCCTATGTTCTCTCTAGAGGTTAGAATATAAGTTTAGAAAGACTAAAGAAAAAAATTACCTAATGTATTACAAGGGGAACACCTATGTCAACTGTAATTTTTAAAGTTTTGAACTGATACACATTTTTGTGGGTTTTTTTCCCTAAGTACTAACTGATGCTAATTATCAGAGTACTTTACTTAAGTGTACTTAATACTGTTACAGCCTGAATTTGCAAACATGCAGAAATCAATAGAGAATACAGATTTATAAATCTTCAGGCGTTAAATATAAGCCCTCAGTCCATTATTGAAAAGTGATGTTGAAACCATTAAAATTTTTGTAAACAAAGTTACTCAAATGTGTACACACAAAGTGTTTGCGTGTTAATAAGCTACCTCTGCAATTTTTAAGTTGTAATGCACAAATAAAATGGGAAGTTGCTCACAACTGTGAAATTATTGTAGGTGGAAATATGCAGGTAACAGTGTTCTTGAAGTTCACATCAAAAGACATACTCGAATGTGGTCATGGAGTAACATAAAACAACATAGGCAGCTTCTGAAGAGTTATAAGAATATATACAAGAACAAGCTGACACAGAGTAAACTGTCAGAAGAAGCACAGAGGCAAATTCAGGTATGTGTTCTTTTTCTCCTTGGAGAAAGTATGTTTTGGTCCCTTTATTTAGTAATTCTTTAAATATACGTGGTTATAATCAAGGTTGGTGGTTTTACAAGAGCACAAGAGTTCTTGAAAATACCATTTTAAACTAAAGTTCCCGGTAACCTATTGTGGAAAGAAGGAAAAATCTAGTAAAGTGCCGTTTAAATAAACACTTCTTGGTTGCGGATTAACAAACTTGGATGCATTTAAAGAAGTGCAAGATTAATCTTTTTAAAAAAAAAAATTGACTGCCTAACATCAGGTTTCATCTTCTAGTGAACTTCAGGGGAAGGGGCATGCTCCTTGAAAAAAGGAGCATGTCTTGAAAGAAATTGGAGTGTAAATACGAAGGAGCTGGTAGAAAATTTGTAGTAGGGAGCCTTTCCTAGATGTGTTTGAGGCAAATGATGATATCGTATATTTTTACAGGACCTAGAAAGAAAGCTTGATGTTTTTAATATAATCTTAGCAAGACAACAAGCACAAGTTGAGGTAAGAAATAACTTTTGTTCATTAATATCTTAAAACTTCAAATAGGATGGTTTTGTCTTGATAGCATCTTGAAAAATTTGTGCTGAGGAGTATGATTGGATAGAGAGGTGGGAAGGCAAGTTTCCTATCCTTCCAGGACAAGAGTAAATAAATTTTCAAACTGGAAACCAGTTCCAAAAACCTACCAGTGTATGTGCACAGTGTTACTGCTACTGATGTTGTACCGTTCAGGCAATTGTCTAATGGTGAGGATTGACAGATACTTTTTTACCTTTGACTTCTGTTGTTTCAAAACTGTTTCTGCAGCTGTTCAAGATCAAACATGTACAGCTGTTTTCATCCTACCTACACCTTTAGATGCTCTCTTTTTAGGGGACAGCCAATCTAATTAAGACAACTGAGAGAATTGTTAAAAGGCAGATGAAGTCTCTAGCTGCATTTTGGAAATCATTTGTGACACTTAACGAGGAGTTGCATGTTTTAACATGGTGAAAAGTGTTGTATCTGCAGTTAAGATCAAAACCGCCTAGCACGCTGGGGGCAAGCTGTCTTGTGAAAAGCATGCTACTGGTAGCTATTCGCCTAACATGAAAATGAACCTCTGTAGTTGCTTTGTATAATAACTGTTCATGCCAATGTAGCCTCTGTTTGTCTACACATCCAGAATCTATATAAAATGAAGATGAAAAAATAGTAATGATGTTTTTTGTTTTTGAGATATTTGTGGTCAGACCTTGATTTTTAAAATGTGAAGTGGAAGTCTGAGTGTAAATTTAAAGTTTTGAATACGTGTAATGGTACAGGATCAGTTTTCAGCTTTGTTACTACTAGATTTAAGGAATGTAATTACTTCTTAAATACTGTCTTTTCATGTGGTTCCTGCCTTTTTGTAATCTAAATGCTAGTGGAATGCGTAGGAGAAAGGCTGCCCAAAGTAAAAGTAACACATGCTTGTTTACACATGTGTGTATGCACACGCACACACACGTGCTCCTCACCCTGATCCTCTTTTTGCTTCTGTCTGGTGAGTCAAAGTGCTCTTAATCCTTTGTGGAGTAGTGTTGCTGTCCACCAGTTAAATGTCTGTTCAACATGCATTAGTTACAGAAAATCAAAATATATAGTAACTCTAATTATGTATTTTAATGTCTGGTATTTAGACAATAAGATCGGGACAAAAACTACTGAAGAAGAAAAACACTGAAGCAGAAAAAAAAAGTGGAGGATGGTTTGGTGGTTTCTGGGGTAAAAGAGAATCTAGGAAAAAGGAAGATGAAGAATCACCAGTTCCTGAAAGTACGTGTAGACTGTAATGCACTGATTTCTACAGAGGCTTTAAATTTCTACATACATTAAGAAGAAAGTTATAGTATGTTTTGCTTCCTATTATACAGAAGGAGAGAGTATGGCATAAACAGTGCAGTGCAGCGTTGATCTGTTTTATAGTATCACTTACTGTTAGTGAATATTGAGCTGGCAAATAAGGCATACTTCTGAAATAGCCATAAACGTTTTAGAACCTTGGCAAGGAGAAGAGTATAGAGCTTACAGCTACAGCGTAATAGCTGATGACTGGAATACTGTATTCTGGTGATTTGCTCTCTGGAACAGATTTGTTCTAATAGTACTCCTCAAAGCTATTTTCATCACTGGGAATTATGGGTACTCTCGTAATATAAATTATATTGATTTCTCTGTTACGTATGTAACACTATATACAAAGACTGCTTCTGTGTAAATTTTCACAATATGGAACTTAGTGTAATGTGAAGAATCAAAGAAATGTGTCGTACAATAGAAAATAAATGGCAGGAAAAATGCTTATCATTACTAATTAAAGTGCAATTTTTTGTGGGTTTTCGCTTTTTAGCTATTGATGAACTAATGACACCAGAAGAGAAAGCTAAGCTTTTTACTGCTATTGGATATAGTGACAGCTCCCATCACCTTTCCTTGCCAAAGCAGGTAAGCAACTTCTTATGGGGATGGTTTGAAAAGCAAACAAACCAACCAACCAACCTTTCTGATGCATAGAATCATAGAATGGTTAGAGTTGGAAGGGACCTTAATGATCATCTAGTTCCAGACCCCCTGCCGTGGGCAGGGACACCTCCCACTAGGTCAGGTTGCTCAAAGCCCCATCCAGCCTGGCCTTGAACACCTCCAGGGATGGGGCAGCCACAGCTTCCCTGGGCAACCTGTCCCATTGTCTCACCACCCTCACAGTAAAGAATTTCTTCCTAATATCTAATCTAAATCTACCCTCTTTGAGTTTAAAACTGTTACCTCTCATCCTATTGCTACACTCCCTGACAGAGTTCCTCCCCATCTTTCCTGTAGGCCCTTTTAAGTACTGAAAGACTGTTCTGAGGTCTCCGTGGAGCCTTCTCTGCTTTGGGCATGTTAGCCTTAAAATAAGCAGTAGAATGTGTTAGTGCAATTCAAATCTACATGGAATGTACAAAGAAGATTAAAAAAAAAGTTTATTCCGAAAACGCAAAGTATGTGTAATATTTTCCTTGGTCTTCTGCTTTGTGCGCAGTCCTAATCTGTAGTGATTTAGAATTAACAGGAAATAGATACCTGTTTGCAACTTGGAAGAGAATGAAAAAGCTAACTGTAAATGAAAAAAGATACCATGTTAGGTTTTTCATTGCATCTATTTCTTGATACTTGTGGTGGTGCAAACTGAATTACTGTGGTCTTTTTGGTGGCTTTTTTTGTTGTCGGTGGTGTGGGGTTTGGGGTGGTTTTTTGTGTTGTGTTTGGTTTTTTTTTTTTTTTTTTTTTTTAAATCCAAAGTCAGTTTGATTCTGGTAATTGAATAGTTTTGGTTTATATAAAGGTAAACATTAGCATGTGATTATTTCCTGTTTGACCTAATGTTTATAACTCTCAGAGATGCTGCTGTTAGAAGAATGGTGTTATGTTTCTATTCAAACATTTGTCCTAATGACTAATATTAGGAGATTTCAGTTGTACTACTTTTTTTCTACTACACAAAGAAAAGGTTGAAATTAAAAAATGTTTGTCACAGATATTTTTTGGCTTGTTAAGCAAAGGAATAAAAGTTGAAACTTTACAGGTATAGTATTCTTGGGAGGGCTTGTAGGAAGAAAGTTAGAAAAGTAGACAGCTAAGAAAATGTGAAATGGTAAGGTTTCTCTCAGTATACTTATTTTCTGTGACCACTGTTATGTTGTTTTAAATCTTAGTGTGACTGGTGGGTGCTGCTTTAAGTTCCTCATCGGTTACAGAAGCTCTTTTTATATTAAGATATTTACTTCAAGGAGGATGTTGTCTCTTCTTCCCAGCCCTTCAACTTTTCAACCTTGTGGTATTTTGTTAAATTTAACTATTGTAAGCTTACACGTGCCTCACACAGCAGAGTTCAGAATTGCTTGAGTGGCAGCATGGAGGCCTGTGTGCTATTGTATGAACTTGTGTTCCTGTCAAATTGAAAAGTGTAGAGCAGCAGCAAGCATCTCTTACCAACAAACAAGAGACACAGCCCAAACAATGCCCAGTACTGGTGCTTGCCCCCCTCCCCACTTGTTTTCATGCTTTCCTTGCTTACCTGTGTGGAAAAATTTCCGTTTTTAATTTGTACAAATTAAATGTAGACGTGCTTTCATGTCTCTCAATACCGTGAAGAAAGTTGCAGCCTTCAAATTCAGATAAGAAGTATTATTTGATTCTTCCTAAGTTGCTGATTAACACAGTCATAAAATGGTACACATGTCAGGAAGCCAAAACCCTGTCTTGACAAGGTTGAGAAATGACATTCAGCAGCAAGAACAACAAAGGCATACATGCAGTGTCTTCTAAAATGTAGTTGTTTGATGGGATTATGATTTGGTTTGTTGATCTTGCTAGCTCTCTACTGAGTGTAGTTTAGGTACACTTGCTTCTATGGTTTAAAAAAACTTGCATGAATCCTGAAAAGAGATACAGGCTGTATTTGCTCTGTATTTGTTGAAATACACTGTTTGATGTTAAAGAAATGACTGATAAAGGTTGGAAGAAGGTAAAGACTATGTACTTCCCTTCCTACATAGGGATATGTTTCTTACTTTAGTCAACTGGAATAGCTTTAAATATCTCATTTCATTAGATTGGTTGAAATTGGGAATTCTGAAAAATTTTTCATATCAAGATGACTAATTTCAATTTTCTCTGTCCTTCTCTCTAGTATGTTGCCCATGTTGTGACACTGAAGCTGTTAAGTACTTCTCTTATAATTAAGGAAGATAAGAATGTGGCAGAAACGCTTAAAGTACAGATAATTGATCTGAGTACCAAAATATCACAGCGCCCAGGAGCACAAGCCATAAAGTAATTGGATTGGTATTTTCTCCCTCCCCTCCCTGCCCTTTCCCCTGGCTTTTTACATCTTTTCTTGGGTAGTGCGTTATGTTTTATGTTGACTTTAAAATTTATGGACATAATAAGTAACGTAGAATGGAATGAAGAAAGGAATACTATTTGTTAGTCTTCGTAAACAATAATAAGATCTTTCTTCAATCCAGATGTTGAAGTGCTGAATATTACTTTTGGGAAGCGATACCTGAGCAGTATGAAATGGTCTGGCTAACACACTCCAGCCAAGCTACTGAATGTGTTGCTGACTTCTACAGAAACAAAAAGCTGTGTCTGTGTTGTGGGTAGGAGATGGACCAGCATGTAGGAAATTGAGTCCTTCCTGGGTTTTAAGAGAGGGCACACCAGAAACATTGAACACGAGGTAGTGGATTATACAGTCAATGAATAAAATTGTCAGTGTCTGGAAAATGAGTCTGTGTTTTTCATGCTTCCATTTGCAGTTCCTTCATCTTCTGACATTATGCGTAAGATCACTAACTCAGCTGCTGACTCTGAAATATTTTTGCTAAAAACCATTTTGGGGAATATTGAAGGTGCAGCCTGAATGCTGCACAAAAGTAAAAAGAGTTTTGGGAATATTTTTCATAAAAGCATGCCATATAATTTAGTTGATTGTAAGTTTCTGGAAAAATGTAATTAGGGTTTCTCAATGGAGCCAGGCTTGTGAGACTGATTATGCCCAAACTGTGTTGCCTCCTAAAGTGAGGGTTTCCAATGGTAGAGACCCAGGACCCGAAAATAAGTTTCATATCGAATAGGTGTTTCTAAGGATAAATGAAGTTTGTGTGGTTGGTGGTGTTCACATGGCTTTCTTTCAGAGCATTTTTCTACTGACTCCACTTAACATTATCGTCAGGGAAGCTGTCAGTAAAGAATACCCGTTTGCACCAAAACAAGTCTCTAACTGATTTTGAAGTTAATACGTAATAGTTAACTCTTAGTTGGCTCTTTTTCACCTGTAGCATAAATATTCTGCCTTTCTTTTCTCTCGCAACTGATTCTCTTAATAAACATGAGCTGAAAGATATATTCAGTCCACCTTGCAGATAACAGAAGGTGGAAAGAAAATATCACATTTGTGTCACTGTGAACAGCTTGCCTCTTATTAATTTTTCCAATTTATTAATGTAACAATTTCTTAACTGTGTGGTATGTTAGTCCTGTGACACTAGCCATGTTTGGCTTTAGCGAAGCCTTTCTCATCTTGGTTGTCTCTCCTAGATGGAACTGTTCTGTATTCTAGTAAAGTATATTCAACTTCTCATTTTTAGGGTTGAAGCAAAGCTTGAAAACTGGTACGTTACAGGCCTAAGACAAGAAAACATTGTACCATCTCTTGTGGCTTCCATAGGGGATAGCAAGTCTTCTCTACTTCAGATAGAGTTTAATGTTAACCCAGAGGATAGTACTGCTGACCAGAGTCTTACTATTGAATCACAGCCTGTGGAAATAAAATACGATGCAGTGAGTAGTAACCAAAACAACTTGCCTCTTTTTCTGATTCTCCTCTCTCTGCCATTATTCTCTTTGCTCTGTCAAGATCTATTTTTAGGTTTTTACTGAGTGACTTTGGTGTATATTGATAATTCTTTTCTTTTTTTTTTTTTTTGCTTTGAAAGAGAACAATAAATGCAATGGTAGAATTCTTTCGGACAAGTAAGGGAATGGATCTTGAAAGATTAACATCAGCTACATTAATGAAGCTGGAAGAAATCAAGGAAAGAACTGCTACAGGTAAGATAATAACAAATCTCTACTGAGGTGAACCCTTGAATGTCTTAAAATGTTTCAATATGACTTTCTAAACACTTTCCTTACGTTTTGATCGCTGGCCAAATAGTATGATTGGGTTTTTTGCCTTGAGTTTTTGACTTGGAGAATGTTTTTCAGGGGGAGCCTTGAGTTTAGTGAGAAATCAGTAGAATGTTACAAAAGCAAGATTTTACTCAAGACGCTATCTTTCAGATAGATAGCATCTCTTTATACGTTGACTGGCATAAATGTATCACTTGTGAATAGCGTTTCAATTTTAACATTCCTTCCTTTTTATTTAAGGATTAGTTCATATTATTGAAATGCGGAAAGTCCTCGACTTGAAGATTAATCTGAAACCTTCCTACCTTGTGATTCCACAGACGGGTTTCTACCATGAAAAATCAGATTTGCTGATTTTGGACTTTGGTACATTTCAGGTATATAAATGACCTCTCTTATAAGGTCAGAGGAAGAAAATACTCTTTTCTCTTAACATAGCTGTCATCTGAAAGTATCTTGTTTTCAGAAGACAAAGATGATCATCTGTGTGAATGTGTTTTAAGTTACTGTATTTATTACCAAATAAATTTGGGCCAGCAATTTGATCAATGTTCAGAGCTATTAAGTTGTCTTTGACATACTTATACTAGTTAATCTCCCCAGGAAACATTTTCATTTTCTAATTGTGATTGTAATAGCTTATTTAATATCTTTCGTTTATTCAGCAAAACATATGAACATTTGTTTCCTTTTTTTGTTTACAAAAGCCTTTTATGATAGCCTCTTAGTAATAGAAGAGAATATAATTTTTCCTGGAGTTTGAAAGTTGATTCCCTTTTTCTTATAAAATTGAAAGGCTACAATAATTTAACTTGGTTTTAGCTGACTGATTAAATATTTATTTTAGTTGAACTCCAGCAGTAAACTTGAAAAATTCTTTTTGCATAACTTGAACTAAGTACATTGATAGAAGTAACAAAAAACCCCTACTTATTCTTGATAAGTGAAGTGTGAAATGAATTAAGATCACTTCTCTGTAAGAGTCCAAATGTCAATCAAACTCCTGTGAATCATCTTTTTTGTCTTCACTAGAATTAATAGTGCACGTGTGTAAGTTTTAGACTTAACTTTATCTTGTCCTTTATGTGTTTAGCTGAACAGCATAAATCAAGGCAGTAGTCAAGCTTCTAACTTTTCATCTTTAGAGGAGATTATGGACAAAGCTTATGACAAGTTTGATGTGGAAATAAAAAATGTGCAACTTCTTTTTGGAAGAACAGGTAACAAACCGACACAGTTGCTGTTTAATCAAAAGATAGATAAAGGCTACCTACCTGTGGTAAATAAATATAGTTTTTAATGAAAAAAGGCAAACCAAAACCAGCAGTTAACTAAAAGATAGATTATAATACATGTCTGGTATTAAACTGTGAAAAGATTTGTTAGTTTCTCTTCAAACAGCTGCTTGCTTTTTGTTTGGGCTTGTGTGTCACTACTTTGCCAGCAAGCAAGGTAAATGCATAGAACTATATGTTTTCCAACATATGCAGGAAAACACAGCTCAAATTTACCTTAATCCTTAATTTGGACATAAATTTGTGCAGTCAACAAAATGCTAGGTTACTGTTTTATATTTGTCTATCCATCTATTCATTTTTTTAGGGTTCTATGTTCAAATACATGTTTAGTGTAGAATTCGGCTTCAAGGCTGCTAAGGCAATACAGTGTTAAGAACTACTGAAAATTAATTCAAAAGCTCTTAGAGTGCTTTACCCAAATTGTTCTAGGCTTTTCTACTTTGTGAGTGGGTTCTTTATCCTTTCCTAGTGATGCCATTTGATTACTTTAATGATACCTTAGTTAAAGCAGTTAGGAAGCGATGTTTTTTCATCTAAATTTACTGACTGTTTGCAGGTGAAGACTGGAAAAAGGCTCGTTTTCAACATCCATCAACTTTGCACGTATTACAGCCTATGGATATTCATGTACAGTTGGCAAAATCGATGGTGGAAAGAGATACCAGGATGGCAAAGTAATACATTAATGTTGAAAGAACTTCTTTTTAATTACTGTGTACTTAGAGAAAAGACAACTATTTTCTCCAAAGGTTCAGTTACGCTATATAATTTGAAGGTATTAACTTAGGAAATAGAAGTAGCTTCCTACTTTATACGAAACCTTTTTTGGCTAGTAGTTCCCTGGTCACCTTCACTGGTTACTAACTCTACTGTTTAAACTGAGTCCAAGACCTGTTTCTAATGCGGAATCACTGGCTTTACTGTGATGTGATCTTTATATATAAGTATAGATATTGGTAAGATTTAAATCAAGAATTGGTAGGTACTTTTTCTTGTCCTGGAGTTCAGTATTTTTTTTTTTTTAAAAAAAGGTTTAAAGTGTCAGGAGGACTTCCTTTGGTGCATGTCAAACTCTCTGACCAGAAAATCAAGGCAATTTTTGATCTGATTGATAGCATTCCATTGCCTCAGAAGTCATCTGTGTCCATTCCAAGCACAAAGGTAAGCTGACTATAATGCAGAAAACTGAAATAACAAAATTGACATAACTAAAGTGACCGTTCTAAGTGTGAATTCCTGCTAATGTCTGTGGTCTTTTTCACTTGAAATGAGACCTGTTGCCAAGCTGAGTTAGGCAAAGCATCTTCATTATGACTTACCATCAGAACATGCTGGGCTTATTCAAACAAGGCTAGCTTAACCTTTTTCATTGTCTGCTGGTTTCAATATAAGTATTCACAAAACTGACCTTTCTATTGAGGATGCAAGGTGGAACATGCATCATCAGTAGGAAATATCAGTAGGAACATACCAAGTTATACAAACTTCAAAAGTGTGATTATTTTTTTTTTCTTTTTGCTCCTCCCTCTAGGTACCAGCTATTCCCGCAATTCCTGTTGTTAGTAAAGGGTTACTTAATACACCACAGTTGTTAGCAGAAATAGTATCAGGTAAGAAGCTACAGAAACACCTTTGTAAAAGTAGAAGCTATATCTTCTGCTGCTATTGATCTTAAAACATGTTACAAGTGCAGTAGGGATGAGTATGATTTATCTTCTCTAACTTCAAGTACACAAGAAGATTTGGTTAAGATGCTGATGCTACCTCAGAATAACAAACTTAATTTTTAAAAAAGAAAAAAAAACAAACCCTTTTTTGCGATTAATATTATGCGTAAGCGACCTCTTCAAAGTGGAGCCATTAACAACAACTGTATTAGGATGTCATTAGCAAACCAATTCAATTATTCAGATGTCAAGAGACATCTTTTTAGCAGAGAGTATTGAGGAACCTGTTACATCAGAATTGACTAATGATAAATTTAGTCCAATACTAATCTGCTGCTGCTACTTCAGGACACATATTTTGGGGTGGGCACATAAACAAGGTAACACGTCTAAAGGATGTGTACACTTGCATTAAGCAGCCAACATGTGGCAAAAATAGACTGTTACGAACATAACATGTACTGTGCTGAGTGTGTTGCATTAGCATAGCTCTCATTTTTCTGAAAATGCAGAACTGGAATAACAAATGGCAAATTACTGTATTGACACTGTGGAATTGAGCATTTGTTTCCGAGCAAATGAGTTCTTCTAGAGAAGAACTTTCCTACAGTGGAACCTTGGGAAACTTGTTTCCTGGAGCTTACTTTTAAGTGGTTTTCCTTATTTGTGTTCTTGAATGTCTAATCATACAGCTGAACTCTAGTGCTTTCCTTAACAGGGCTTTGATTTTCTTCACTTTTCATCCACTGGGTAAGAAAGCAGTATAGATCTAAAAAGTATACTTTGTCAGATGAGGTTTTAACTGCTCATACAGTTTAAAATCCCATTGGAATGGGAAAGAGAGGATGGGATGTTTACCCCTGTTTCTGGTAAAAGTTTACTGAGGAGGAAATCACTTCTGTGTTGTAGACTCTGAAGAAGAATATTTTGATTTTGAGGAAAGTTCTGAACCAACTGACAGGTCACTAATTAAGGGAGAAGAAATAAGAAATGAGCCTGCTAAAGAGGAACTGACAGATCTTCAGTTGAAGTTTGAAATTAAAGAGGTACTTCTCCTTAATTCTATTTTTACCTTCTACATAAAGAAAGTTAAGAAAAAAAAAAGCAATATTCCATTACCAGTGTTGTCCAGATTTAGTGGATGCAAAAACAGAGCCCCCAAACAAAAAAATGCACATGTATATATATATTTCTATGTATGAGTTATTTATATATGGTATGCATATGAGGGTTTTTCAATATATGGTACATGTATAAATAAAACATGTACGCACAGATGAAGTATGTATATGTATTAAAAAAAAAAATCAGCAAAAAAAAGACCCTTATTGAATTATTTTTGGTAGAAGAAAGTACCAAGTCATAATTTGGGGGCAGGAGGTGGAAAATTTGCACTGGAAGAACAAATTAAATAGCCAGGCATGTCACTTGAAAAGAGCAAATCCCAAAATATTTCTGTGATATTTTTATCTCTCACCATCAAAAAGTCTTTTTTTTTTTATTTTTACACTTTAACTCTGTAACAAAAATAATACTTCCAATAAAGCAGGCAAGGTGTTAATTTTGCACTGTTTTCGTTGTTGGTTTGAGTGGTGAGAATACTACATGTGAAATAATGGTATAACTGTATTTCTTGTTCATCCAGGTTTTAGTAGAACTCACCAAGCAAAAGAAATCTGAGGAAACGGTGCTTGTATTTGATGTAATGCATCTTGGGACAGAAGCTACTGTCAAAACGTATAATTTAGCAGCTGTATCTTATTTAAAGAAAATAAGCTTGGATTACTATGAAATTGGAGGTAATAAGCAATGGAAGAGAAGCATACTAGTGTGTGCGTGTATGGAAGTTAGTCTGAAACTGTGGCTCTCCTGTCTCTTGTGCTCACTGAAATTCAAATGTTGTTCTAGTTTTCCAGTTAGAATACTTAATCTGCAACTGTCCATTGGCAGTGCTGCTTGTGTTGGTGCAGGTGATAAGCTCTGGACTCCCACCGTAATGCTTGTTAGATAAATAAATAGCTTAGTGCTCAATCTTTAGATGGAGAAGGGGTACACACTTGCCATTTTAGACTTAACGAAGAGAAACCAACGATTTGTATTTGGTGGTGCTATGTATTTTAACAAATGGTAGTGAAAGTTAATCTCTATCTTAAAGGCACAAATTCTCTTGTTCGCTAACAGAGCAGAAATTATCCTAACTCTTGTGTATTTCATGTGGTATGTTACAGGTAAAAAAGCACCTATTCATCTGATTAGTTCCTCAGATAAACCTGGCTTGGACCTTCTGAAGGTGGAATATATCAAGGTATACATAACGGTCTTTATTTTTAAAGCACTTTTATATATTATGAAGTCTTAAACCTACTATTCAGAGCTAGTGGATTGTTTTGTGTTTTCTGAAGAGCACAGTGACTGGTTGGAATTAATATTAACCTTCATGTGAATCATTATTTTCAGGCTGACAGAAATGGGCCACACTTTCAGACAATTTTTGACAACACTGAACAGATGGTTCAAGTGAGTGCTTGCAGATTTTACTGCTTATTTCTTTTAGCTTGCTTGCTTAGAAGGGAGGAATCAATAAGGGTGTTTTGGCTTTCCTGTTTCCCCCCAACCCTGGCCTTGAAGCAGGGAAATTTAAAGAGAAAAAATGTACTTGAAAGTTTTTATACAACATAAGGCTAATATGTTAGTCCTGTATCTTAACTATGATGAAAAACTGTCTAGCTAGCTTATGTGGATAAAATTAAAAATAACATAAGAACGCATCTTCTCATGCATATGAGATCATGAAGTTCAAACGTCCCGCATGGAGAAAATGTAGTGGGGTCTAGAATTCTTTCCCTTTCCTGTCAAATAATCTGTTTGTATTGTGAGTGCCACATAATCAGCACTCTGACTAAATTTACTAAGAAGTCTAAATCCATTCAGGAGTGTTTGTTTTTTGGTTGCTTTTTTTTTTGGGGGGGGGGG